CCGTTGACACCTGGGTGATATGCTGTCGTGCATAGATGAGAATGGCAGGGCATGCGTTTAAGATCGCGAGACAGGTCATAATTAAACTGGGTCCTCTATCAATGGTGATAGTGGTGATGGTGCCAAACACGGATATGGAAGTTTCGATGAAATTTCGTGCAACGGTCTCATATGAGAAATCCCGCAGTGGTACGGCTTGTGGTCAACGTGTGAAACGATAGATACATGTAAATACGTAAGTAAAACTGTCGGATGGCAGTAGAGACCCAAAGATGTCGATATGGACATGTTTGAATTGAGCGTCAGGCAGCGAAAAGGTTCCAGGAACAGTAAAATAATGTGGTGAGGTATCTTGCTATTGTGGCAAGTGTGGCAACTGTGTTTCGCCCACCACCGGATATCAGAGTGCACGCTGGTCCAGATATAATTATCTGTGATCAGCGTGGTAGTGGCGCAGATGCTCGGATGAGAGGTTCCGTGCAGGTAGTTAAACGCAAATCACCGATACCGTTGCGGGAGGGGTGGTGGAGGCTTTCCGATGGATAGATCACATTGAATTCCAAAGTACGTGTTGAGAATGGATAGTTGAAAATGTTTGATAGATGGATCTGATTTCATTTGCTCAAACTCAGGATCTCTTTCCTGATAGGCTGCGATGTCTTCTAGGATGTTTACTTGGCGCGAAACCTCGTGTTGATCAATGCGAAACATATTTTCTGATAAAACATTGTGAGCTGTATCCCTGTTTCAAATGTCAGTGGTAAACTTTGATATTTGACGAGTTTCTCTAAGTGAATAGCCATCAGTGGAACCACGAAAAGCAAAAGCGAGTGGCTTCTGATCCGTGAGGATGGTAACTGGACGTCCTTAAAGCAAACGGCGGAAGTACTTAACGGTGCGATAAATTGCAGAATTCTCTGCCAAAAGTACCGTAGGATGGCCAGAGTGGGAAGCCCAAAATCCTGAAAAGAAAGCATAGTACATAAACAAATTGTTTATTATCAACAGCGCGAGGCACGCCTGCGTAGGCAGGATCATGGTAATGCCAACAATAAAGATACGTAATTGCACAAATGTTTGCAAGTAAATAACTTGCAAACTGGATTTATGTGTAGGTATCTATGTAGGTACCTGTGTATATGGCCACCTTGAATGGAGCTGTTAAAGTAACGCTGTATCTGTGGTTGTTTTTGATCGGGACGCCAGTGTAAGAAGGAATCACAAGGACCCTTCGGAGTGGATGTCTAATGTTTGAGAAAAGGGTAGGATCATCTTTATGAGCGAGAGTCGGTAACTTTAATTAGTAGCGAGCCAAATCCGCCACGTCACAGGGTTGTTAAATGGACAGTTATTGCTCTTTCTAAGCAGAATGCCTACCAGAGGGAACCCACCAAGTCCTGAAACACTGCCGCCGAACCATTCGCTTGGACGAGAATGACCCGAGTCACCCAGCTAACACCATGTGGAGGTCGTTCGGCGAGCCAGCGGTTTCGGTGCACTCACCATAATTTTTACGCAGAGGCATGCATACAAGAACTAATCTCGGTTGTGTAGGTTGATGTGTGTTGTGCATTGTGTCATCATCACCACTGTATCATCATCATTGAATCATCTGTCCATGTGTGGATGGATTGTCACCTGCAATCCAAGTCTGTAGCGCTATTGACTTAGAAGTGAATCTCAGTTATTTATTTTACTGAGACAGAATCTAAAACAAATGTTAGATGTTGCGCGCTGGCAGCACTATACCCGAAGATCAGTTTTTGCTTCTTTTATTCTTTGATTGAGGATTTCAGAGCAGCGACACAAGTTCGTTTAACCAAACGAAGCCTTCGGTGCTCAGTTTTAAGAACTTTTGGTTATCAGGATAAAACATTCTATAGACAGCGTTGGAGGAAGTCCGCCTTACATGGACAAGCTAGAACGGCTTAAGGTAGTCTTTGAATATTTCGCACAGGACTGCTACATGCGCGTTTGGCAAAGGGCCAGGTTGAGTTTACTGGGATTATACCGCTGGCTTGCCGAACAACCTCGTGGTGCCAGCTGGGTGGTTCGAAATCTTCCCGTCCCAACGAATAGTTTGGCGGCAATGTTCCAGGACGTGGTGCGTTTTCGCCTGGCAATCGTCTTCCCTATAAAAAGCCGCATATGTCCGTTTAACAACACTGCGACGTGGCGGATGTTACTCGCCACTAAAGAAAGTCACTACCCCTTGCTTCACTGTTGTGGAGCAATGTATTCCAGCTACCAGATGCTGCCATCGTTGTGAGGATCGCGCCTGTGTTTGCTACTTTCCCAAACAGGGGCGTATGAACCGAGTTATCGGTCACCGGCTCCCAACGGGCTCGATTCCCTGAATTCGCCCTGCTGCCTTGCGGGTAGTCTATTGAGGGAAAGGCTCGGGGTGGCGACTCCCTAAGACAACCACCTACCTCGGCCTAGGCAACCGGGTAGTACCTCGCCTACTGATGAACCATGCGACAGAACTGCGATATTCGCTCTACTCATGTTTTGATCTCATGTTACTACTGCAAACACTTTCACCACACGCCACATATGTCCGTTTAACAACACTGCGACGTGGCGGATGTGACTCGCCACTAAATAAAGTCACTGCCCCTTGCCCCTCCCTGAGAGGCATTGTACTTTAAGGGTGAGTTGGGCCCCTGGTCCTTCAAGGACCGGAAGGCGTATGAACGATCTATTTGGTCACCGGCTCCCAACGGGTTGCGACGCCCTCACATCGCCCTGCTGCCTTGTAGGTTAGATCTTTGATCAAAGGCTCGGGGTAGGGCCCCCTAAGACAACCCTCTACTTCGGCCTGGGCAACCGGGTAGTATCACGCCCACTGACGAATCATGGACCACGTCGCTTATTACTGCTACTGCTATGCCGCTCTTCCGTGCTAACAACCGCTCAACCTCTACTCACAGATCAACCCACTTCCCGTCCTTCCCCCACATGTACTCTGATGTCTTCTACGGTCACCGTCACAAACGACCCACGTCTCGCAGCTGATGGAAGTAACAGCCAAACTCCCGATTTTCATTGTCCTGCGATCGCAACCGCCTCTCACTCCACCGAAGCTCCAGCTCTTCTTCGACCTGGTTCTGCATTCACCCTCGCAGCGTTTAATGTTCGAACTAGCGCCGTCATCAGAATGGCCTCTCCGGTTAACTCTGACGCCAAATACTACTTGCAACTTTCCGAAGACCCAGAAGCTGCCGCCACTGGTCAAGCTGGTGTTGGGGTTGTATTAAGTGCCAGGGCTGAATCAGCTCTGCTTGACTGGATCCCAGTCAACAGCGGACTATGTGCAGTCAGACTAAGAAGTTCACGTAACCTAAGCAGGCGTCGAGATGTTAAGCGTGCCTTATTTGTCATCTCCGCCTACGCCCCTACAGACTGCATCCCGGATGCAGTTAAAGATAGGTTTTACCAACAAGTACATGAACTTCTGCGTTCATCCAAAAGGACGTATATAGTCATTCTTGCCGGGGACTTTAACGCACGGGTTGGCCGCCTTCTACCAAGCGAGCACCACATTGGGGGTAGTTTTGGTCTCGGTGGCAGTCGATCAGACAATGGAGACAGATTGCTTGCTCTTTGCTCTGATCATCGCTTGTTTCTTTCGAGCACTAGTTTTCGACACTCGAGGAGACACACTGCTACCTGGCGCCCGCCCTCACAAACGGAAGAATGCTCCCAGCTTGACCACATAGCAATCAGCTACAGATGGCGCGGAAGCGTAACGGACTGCCGATCGTACTGGTCAACTTTTCTAGACTCTGATCACGCATTGGTTCGTGCTAAGACTTGCATGCGTTTCGGAGGATCACCCAAGCGCGCCCACTACCGAACGGACGTCGCGAATCTACAAAACGCTGCGATTTTAACCAGGTACCAAGCCTCACTGTCAACCTTGTTTGGCTCAACTATTGACGGTGATCACGATTCGCAGTGGGCGCATATCAAAGATGCGTTAGTTTCCGCCTGTATCGACACTTGTGGAGTTACTCGTCACCCACCGAAACATTGGATTTCCCCCGACTCCTTGTCGCTGATGGACAGACGCTGCTTGATCCCATCGGATTCCAGACACAGTGAGGAACGCCAATACCTTGGTCGAGAGTTGCGCAGGAGTCTGCAAATGGACCGCGAAGCTTGGTTGTGTGAACGTGCTAGGGAGATGGAGCTTGCTAGTCTCTGTGGTAATACCAGGAAACTCTTCCATCTCATTCGAGTCACCGAAGGTGTTCGATCTGGTATAAGTGAAACAATATGCGAAGAGGATGGCACCTTAATCACCAATCTTCAACGACGGTTGGAGCGATGGGCCGAACATTTTGGCTCGCAGTTTTGTTGGCCCCCAGCTCCATCTGCCACCTCTGGCTCTCGCGCTGGGGCCGAGTGGTCGGCCCCAACAGACCCTCCCTCTTCCCAGGAAATCGAGCAGGAGCCCCAGCACATGAAGCGTTATAAAGCTCCCGGCCCTGATGGTCTTCATCCAGCTCTATTTAAAGATGGTGGCGCATCGCTGGTCCGAGAACTCACCGCTTTGTTCTCGAAAATTTGGTCGAAAGAGAAAGTTCCATCATCTTGGGGTGAATCGATAGTCGTCCCCATCTTCAAAAAGGGCCTGCGCACAATCTGCTCCAACTACAGAGGAATAAGCTTAGTCCCCGTCGTTTGCAAGCTGCTGGTGTCCATCATACTTCGCAAGCTATCCCCAACACGCGAATCGTTGCAACGAGAAGAACAAGCTGGGTTTCGCCCTGGTCGCGGCTGCATCGATCAAATCTTCACACTTCGCCAGATCCTCGAGCTCCGCCATGTGTCTCAGAGTCCAACGATTGCTGTGTTCCTGAATATCCGTGCATCCTTCGATTCTGTCGATCGTACAGTACTGTGTCCTTCTGAGGAACGGTGTCCCCGAGAAGTTCGTCTCCATACTGCGCGCTCTATATAGTCTGACCTCGAGCAGGGTTAGGGCTTATGGCATGCTTTCGCCTACCTTTGTGGTCTCCAGTGGAGTTCGACAAGGATGCCCTATCTCTCCGTTCCTATTCAACTTTGTCATTGAGGATGTCCTGAAGAACGCTCTGAGCGATTCGTTGAACGCTGGCATTGAGCTCCTCCCAGGTAGTCGAGTTGTTGATTTAGGTTATGTTGATGATATCGTCTTTCTGGGTGATGATCCACAGGTGGTCCAACTTGCATTAAACCGCTTGGCGATCGAAGCATCAAAGTACGGTGTGTACTTTTCGCCATCTAAATTCAAGGCTCTGCTTCAAGACTGGCAGTTGCCTCTGCCTGCACTCACGCTTGCTGGTGAGACACTAGAGGTTGTGGAGAGCTTTGTCTACTTGGGAAGTTGCATCACTGCTGGCGGGGCTGTTGGAGACGAGATTTCGATGCCCATCTCGAGAGCAGGCCTCGCTTTTTCTAGGCTGAGGCATTTGTGGCGTCGCCATGACATTCGTCTCTCCACCAAAGGGCGGGTCTATTGTGCGACTGTTCGTGCTGTACTGTTGTACGGATGCGAGACCTGGCACATTCGTAAAGATGACTTGCGCAGGCTATCCGTCTTCGAGCACCGCTGTCTGCGGTCCATTGCCCGTGTGTGGTGGTAGCACCACGTAAGCAATGTGGAAGTTAGACAGCGTGTCTTGGGACGTGGAAGCCACTCGCTCGAGGAGCTCATCTCATTGCAACAACTGCGGTGGTTGGGACACGTATTGCGCATGCTTGTCCAGCGTTACCCCCGTCGTGCGTTGTTTGCACTTGCTGGACAGGGCTGGAGAAGGCGGTCTGGTGGACAGGCTACAACATGGAGAAGCCGCATGAAAAAGTTGACGAAACAGTTGACCTCGGCCGGTTGTTGTCGACTACCTGGTTGGGGTCCGAGAGATGAGGATACTTGCTGGTTGAAGACCTTGGAAGTTATGGCTCAAGATCGATGTCAATGGCGGACGTGTGCATCGGTTTGTTGCGGTGTCCCTTCTTCCTCCCCCTAAAAAAGAACAAACTGAAAAAATTTCAAAAACTGTGAGTGGTAAAATAGACAAAAAAAGCATTTGTTGTTGTTCTTTTCTTATTATTCATATTGTTTTCCTATTCAGCCATGATTCCGATGACACAATATCTGTACCGTAGATTTTGTGATATATATATATATATATATATATATATATATATATATATATATATATATATATATACTCTTCCCCTGTATCATTCTTCCCTGTTTTTGTTTGATCAGTCAACGATGAACAGCCTTGCTTTCTTTGATAATACTGTTGTGGCCTCATCCTCTGACATAAACACACAGCGCCGGACCGGGATAGAACGTTCACGGATTCTCCCCTCTCCAATACTGCAGACAGTTCAACTTGGCGGTTTTAACTGTGCGCACCTTAAAACAGATTGGGCAAAAAGCCGGTCTCGCGCGCACTCCAGAAATTCTTGCATTGGTGTCTGTTGTTTGTCCGAAACATGACTTCGGGATTCCAGCACAGTTTACTCATTGTCGTCACCAATTTACGCTTTTATTTATTTCCACCTTCGACTTTCTGGAGACGCCTAGGCTACCGCCTCTGAGCAAGCCTGTGTTGAGTCGCCCTTAGTGCCAGAGCCGAATCCGTCCTCTAAGTGATTCCGATTAACTGTCAGCATTGTGCTATTAGGCTCCGTGGCTCGTGCAATGTTAACAGGCGTCGAGAAGACAAAGGTGCTCTTTTTGTAATCTTCGCTTATGCTCCCACTGACTGTAGCCTGGATACCGTCAAAGAACAATTCTATCAGAACCTTCATGGTTTGCTCTTAATGGCCCCCAAAACAGACATCATTATTATGGCGGAGGATTTCAACTCGCGTGTTGGTCGTTTGTTCCCAAGAAGACGCCATCTTGGAGGCGTCATTACGCTACCTGGCACGCTCATCTTCCCCCCCACCGTTAGCCACAGGTTGGTCACATCGCCATAAGTCATCGCTGGCGTGGCAGTATTCGGGACTGCAGATCCTATTGGTCGACATGTGTGGAAACTTATCATGCGCTCGTGCGGGCGTCGGTTTGCATGCGTTTCGGTGGCTGGCCTAGGACTAGACAGTTTCGAGTTAACTCGGGTAAACTGGACGACCCCGTCGTGCAGTGGAAATATCAACAGCGGCTTCATGAGAACCTCACTTCTGCGCCTCCTCGGGACGTTGACCAGCATTGGTCGCGATTGCAACAGATTATGCCTTCAGCGAGTTTATCCAGTTGTGGTCTTGTTCGTTGCACAACTGAAAGTTGTATCTCGGCCACCTCTGCGGTACTTTTTGACTATCGGCGAGTTATACTCATCAGTGTGGAGCACGGTGAGCTCCGCCGTTCTTTTTCCAGACAACTGAAAGCGGGTCTTCGCCGTGACCGTGAATCCTGGTGGTCTAAACAGGCCAAGGAAATGGAAGTTGCTGCCTCAGCTGGTAACAGCTGCAGGTTGTTTTTATCCCATCAGATCCACCGGGCGCAATGTTCAGGACATCAGTCAGACCATCTGTGAGTCAGACGGTACAAAGAACACCAACCTACGCAGACATCTGGATTGCTGGGTAGGGCACTTTGCTCTCCAGTTTACTTACCCAACACATCTTCCGATTACACACCTACTGCCATCATGTGATTCTTGGTCACTCTGCGTGGAACCTCCCACTGCTGCGGAAATGCGGAGCGAAATCCAGACTCTGAAACGCCACAAAGCTTCTGGTCTTGACAGTTTTCCTTGGGCCTTATTCAAAGATGCGGAAACATAGTTGTCACCGAAATTCCATCACTGTTCACAAAAGTGTGGAACGATGAGAAGGTTCCTAACTCATCTGGAGGATCTGTTGTAGTTCCGATCTACAAGAATGACTCTCGTGATGAATGTAACAGCTACCGAGGAGTCTCACTTATCTCTGTCGCGTCCAAGCGTTTCGTGTCCATTCTGCTGCGTCGGCTCTCAGTTACCTGCGAGAGTTTGTGTCGTGAAGAGTAGGTTGGCTTCCGTTCTGTCCGTGGTTGCACTGACCAAATTTTCATGTTGCGTCAAATTCTCGAACATCGTCATGTCCACCGAAGTCCAACAATGGTGGGGTTTTTGGATATCCATACCACTTTGACTCAGTAGATAGGTCGTCCGTGTGGAACTCACTGCTACGGAACGGCGTTCCAGACAAGTTTGTCATACTTTGAAAGGGCTTTATACTCACACCTCTGGCAAAGTTAGAGCTTATGGCAGGCTTTCTTCTTGGTTTCCTGTTACCATTGGAGGGCGCCAAGGTTGTTCTATCTCACCGTTCCTGTTCAACTTTGCCATCGAAGGTGTCCTACATCGCGCACTGGAAGGAGCCTATGGCTGCGGCCTTGAGCTTCTGCCCGGGAGCAGAGTCATGGATCTGGACGATGCTGGTGACCTCGCTTTGCTGGGGGACTACTCACAGGCTGTTCAAACCATTCTGAACCGCTCGTAGATAGAGGCATCTAAGTAAGGTCCGTATTCTGCTCCATCCAAGTGTGAAGCTTTGCTCCCGCATTGGCAGGCTCATGTGCCTACGCTCACCATTTCGGGTATCAGTAGAGCCTGTTAACAAGTTTACTTACCTCGGGAGTTTCATCGCGGCTGGTGGCGGTATTGGCGATGAAATTTCCCAATAAATTGCCAAAGTTCGCCCCGCATTTACTAACCTGAGACACTTGTGGCGTCGTCGCGATGTCAATCTCAAGCTCAAAGGCTGAGTGTGCAACGCCACAGTCCGTGCTGTCCCTCAGTACGGTTGCGAGACCTGGCCTGTTCAATCGGAAGATTTGAGACGACTGTCTACTTCCGACAACCGCTGCTTGCGTTCGATTGCTCGCGTATGATGGCAACACCATGTGAGCAGAAGTTAAAAGCAGACTCATGGGAGTGGACAGTCCTTGTCTCCAGAGCATACTCATCCAGCACCGCTTCCATTGGCTCGCTCACGTACTGCGCATGCCGGCCCACCACCTTCCACATCGCATATTATGTTCACTTTCTCGACGCGAATGGGAAAGGAGACGCAGCGGAAAACTGAAGAACTGGAAATGAAGCATGAAGTTTCTAACTTCTTTTCTAGCGTCAGTTGGATCCGTGCTTCTCCCAGGCTGGGTACCACGTGATTCGGATTCCCAACGGTTGGAAATCTTGGAGGATATAGCCCACATTGGGAGTCAGTGGCGTCAATGCTGTTCTGCCATCACTTCATGGTGTAATGTTTAATTTTGTACAAAACATGAAAACAGAAAAACAAACCATTCAAAACGGCATGTGTGAAACTGAAAAAAGATTTTTCTAACCTTTTACTCGCTCTCTTCGATGAACCTTATATTCTCCTTTCCCTACCATCATCCTTCGGATGGAACGTTTGTCTGTTTAGAGACTTGTGAAGATATATATATATATATATATATATATATATATATATATATATATATATATATCACAGAGTGCGTTTACGGGTATCGCATGGACATCGGTATGGTTGGCCACGGTTGGCAACGACTGACAGCAAATTAAAATCCATTTAGTCAACTTCTTATAGTGACAATCCGTCAGATTATGATTTGAGATCGGAGACGAGGAGAATAAGTATATTATAGGGCAGAAATTTTGATCCTTTATGGGATCTTTGAGGTGATGGAGGTAGGCAACAATTAATTATCCATTAGAAACTATGTAACAATATTCTACTGGTTGCATGCCGTTAAAGAAGCTGCTAAATGGGTTGTACCTAGTCCCCATCGTGTTACTGAAAAACAACTGCAATCACAAATTCTGAGGCGTCTGTCCGGACAGTGTGTGAGTAACGAAGGGCTCTGAGTGTGCCAAAAGCTCTACATAGTAGTTCCTAGCTTGTTGGACGCTGTGTGGGCTGCATGGGAGAAAGCGAACCAACGCTTTTTCCTGTAACTATGTGGCCATAAATTTGGATGTTTGTGAGTAGGGTAAAGATTGTAGAAAGTAGAAGTCACGATTAAAATTCACTCACAATAATATGCCTCGACGGGGAATCGAACCCCGGTCCACGAATTTCCGGTCCGCTGCTCTACCACTGAGCTACCGATGGCTGACGATTAGGTATGCAAATTTTAACACATGACTTCTGCTTGGTGCGCGACGTATTGCCATTGGGCTCACAGTACCTGTGCTGGTGTTGCAGATTGACTCACTCACCCGTCACTTCCCAATGGGCCGAAGTATCTGTCCTTCGAATGTCCAATTCGTCGCGCACCAAGCAGAAGTCATGTGTTAAAATTTGCACACCTAATCGTCAGCCATCGGTAGCTCAGTGGTAGAGCAGCGGACCGGAAATTCGTGGACTGGGGTTCGATTCCCCGTCGAGGCACATTATTGTGCGTGAATTTCAATCGTGACTTTCTACAATGTGGCCATAATTGAACTGCATCAATGGGGATTCTGAAGTAGTTAAACAAGTCGCATTGTCGTCGCGGGTTGTCAAGCGAAATTTTAATGGAAATTTTGTTGAAGCATGAATGTTATTTTAAATATTTAACTACTAGCTGACGATCTGACTAATAGCTTGTAGCTTTGATTAATACATTTGACTGAGTAGAATTTTTTTAGGTAAAACTGAACTAATTCATACTGGCATCTCACAAGCGAGATACTCTAATCACGACCCGTAAAATCACTAAAGGATCGTTCTGTAGAATTTGGTTTTAAATTCTTCCTACCCATAAGTAAGCAAAATTACCCCCACAGTCATCAAATGTTGCTTCGTAGATAGCTGTTGTGTTGTGGAAGTCGTGAATTCTGGAGGTCAACTGCAATGTTTTACAAAGTTAGTAAACTGCTTGGCAGTGCAGGCCATATCGTGCCACATTCCAGTTCGTTTGCAAGTTACGGCTGCCTGCCACTGCTCCCCGTGGCTCAGTTACATATGCTGCCGGCTACTTGGCGTAGACTTCTAGCGGTCGTGGATCCGGTTACCTGCAGGCGACCGCAGAAGTACACGCCACTGTCGAGCCCCAGTAGGGCGAAACAAATTTGTGGTGTTTTTCCGGATTGGTGATTAGACTACCTCGCTTGTGGGCTGTGGAAACGAGCAAGTGATTTATCTTACATTAAGTTAAATTAGATATGTCTGCTTGTCGTCGAGAGACCTGGGGTTAACGCGACGTGTTTCTACTTACCATCTTTTTGTGAGTAGGTAAACTTTACGCTGCGAATGGCGTCGTAATTGGATAGCAGGAATATTTGTCTTACTTACACATTCCAAACAGCGCCACCAGAAATTTACTTGTACCGAATGTGGTAACCACAGCTGTTCTAAATATATCCTTTCACTTCATAGCCAACTGCAGATAGGCCCGAACAAGTCGACTTTGCTAAAGGTCGCAGGCGTTTGAGGCATATACTAAAGTTTTAAACTTTTGTCGTACAGTATATATTATGGGTAGCTAGCTTGTTGAATTCTAGCAAATAGAAGGGCGTCAATCCGCAGTCTGTTAGGAAGAATATGATGTGGATGAAACAATGATATTTTTATGGCATGGGATACCGCTTCAATCAGCTACTTAATGTAGCGCCTTGACGAATGCTACACAAGAAATTCGTAGCCCGGTAAGACAGAAGACGGCGGGATATAAAGATTGTCTTGAGAAAATAGCTATGTACAATAGCTATGTGAATATAGCGTGAGGACAATGGGAGAAAATGGTGAAGCAATGAGTAACACCACGTAGGAGCGCAACAGCCTGCAACGCGCGGGCAAGATGGCGGACCTGGTTCAAAATCGCAGTCCAGTATATATAGGCTTTGGACGGGTGCAAAGTAAAACAAAATGTGTACAAGTCTGAATGTGATGTTTGATGGAGTAAAATGTCATGGTCACTACACAGGCCTCCTCCTAGAAGGCCGAGGGACGAGGACTTCGATCGTTGCTGGCTTGCAGATGTAAGAAGGCAGAACCATAGGAGTAGGTTAGTATTTAGATTATTTATTCTTCTTGTGGATTGGAATGCATCATCGGTGGGCCGTCCCAGCGGGCACACCGGACTACAAAATACTGGATAATCCAGAAAAAAGGGCCGGTAGGACCTTTCACCGCTGCTGAAGGACGGTGCGCTTGGGAGAGGTCACTCCCCCCACCGCATTCCAATCCACTGCCACAACGAAGCTGAAATCCTGTTCGTACCGGCGAGCCGTGGGGGGACCAAAAACAACGAGCCAGGCACACGAGCAGCCAAAGCCAGGAAGGCGAGCCAGACAAACGACCAAGGCGAGCCAAATTGAGCCAAGCAGACCACGATCCAAAGGCCAACGTGGGCGGGCGAGACGACAAAGCGTTGGGGGTAGACCAAAGCATCCAAACGACCAAACAATTGAGAAACAGCCAACCATTGAACGGACGGACCCAAACGTGCCAGCCTCATGACTTTACCTGATAGATGGGGGGAAAAAACTCGGGGAGACAGATTCAGATATTTACGGAAAAGCATAATACAAACGATGAGAGAAAATGAAAAAGATTCATGAGGTGTGGATGAGTTCGACAAAATCGGAGAAACGAACAGGTTTACGAACTCTTCTACCGTGACTGGTATTAGTTTGAGGCGAATCTGGTGACTGGGATTGTGGTGGAGCTGAAAAGCTGGGCGTCGTTACAGGTGGCTCTGTAGATTGCGTTAAGGTCGATGATGGAACAAACTGTTGTTCATCGATGAACGCAGGCTTGACGCGATCTATCGAGACAGTATCCCTTTTACCCCCACGGTCAATCACCAAAGTTTTTGAAGACCGTTTAATAACACGGTATGGACCTGTGTAAGGTGCGGAGAGAGGCTGTCTCACTTGGTCGACACGTAAGAATACGTGAGAACATGTAGAAAGGTCTTTCGGAACGTGCACTGGAGTGCGTTGTTCCCTGGGTCTCGCGGGATGCAGCTGACGCATGTGGTGCGTCAGACGAGCTATGTAGCTCTTGTAGTTCCATGCCCTCTCCGGGGTTGGGGCGACTAATTGTCCAGGGAGACGCAATGTGCAGCCATAAACGAGTTCGGCCGGAGCAGCGTTAATGTCGGTTTTGACAGTATTTCGTAAGCCAAGTAAAACGGTGGGAAGCGCTTCGTACCAGTCTGCGTTATCATGTGCACATAGTGCAGCTTTCAGCTGGCGGTGAAAACGCTCAACCATGCCGTTGGCGGCAGGGTGGAATGCAGTCGTTTGGATGTGACGGCAGCCGAGGGTCTGAAGAAGGTGAGCAAATGTGCCTGCGAAGTGCGAACCTCGATCAGTTGTCACAACGGCAGGACAACCAAAGTGTGAGACCCAGCGCTCTAGAAAAGCGCGAGCGACAGTGTCTGATGAGCAATCTGGCATTGGGATGGCATCAGGCCATCGTGTAAAGCGGTCTATACAAGTCAGCAAGTAAGCGCAGCCATTAGATGGGGGCAGTGGCCCAACAAGGTCAACATGAATATGGTGAAAACGGGCATCAGGAAGTGGAAATGAACCAAGCGGACTTTTCGTGTGTCGATGAACCTTAGACTGTTGACAACTAAGGCACGTACGAGCCCACTGTCTAACGTCCCGGTTGACGTTGCGCCACACGAAGCGTTGTGTGACGAGCTTCACTGTGGCACGAATGCCTGGATGTGATAAACTGTGAAGAATGTCAAACACAGTGCGTCGGAAAGCTTGGGGAACCACTGGTCGTGGTGAATTTTGCGAAACGTCGCAAAGTATGGTTCCATCCGAAGTAGGCAGTGGAACTGGTCGTATGCGCAAGGAGCTAGAATTACGAAGCTGATCCAGCTCTGGGTCGGTCTGTTGAGCAGCAGCCATTGCCGTTAGATCGATACCTTCAGCGGACGTGATGGAGCTGACGCGAGAAAGAGCATCAGCGACGGAGTTCTGCACACCCGAGACGTGCCGTATGTCTGACGTAAACTGTGAGACATAGTCCAGGTGGCGTATCTCTCTCGGAGAGTATCGGTCGGATGACGAGTCGAGGGCGTAAACTAAAGGTTTGTGGTCAGTAAAGACGGTAAAGCTTCTGCCCTCTAGAAAAGGACGAAAATGACGGATGATACCAAGTTCGAGCATGTGCTCGAATTCCGCCTTAGCGGCTTTTAGCTTATCAGGGGCGAGACGTCGTGGCCGTGCAGAAACCGGTGGGCCACGGGTTCGTATATGGTGCGTAACGCTAGATGCGACCGGAAGAGTAGCGTCAGCTGAGCGGACGAGCTGCGGAAACTGTCTGAACAGATCTAAAAATTCCTTATCAGCTTCAGGCTGAATGTAAATGGGAGTGACAGAAACACAAGGTGTGCGAACTCCACATGTGAAAAGCTGGGTCTTTTGGTCAACGAGTTTGCGATGACGCGCATCGACGAGAAGATCGAAGTGTTGGAGGAAGTCGATACCCAATATAGCAAATGGAACGGCAGCGATGGTGAAAATCCATCGAAAGGGACGTCGTAGTCCGAGGTCAATGGTAAGGGAGCGTTGACCGAAGACTCGAATAGCAGTGCCGTTAGCGGCACTCAAGTTAGTTGTCTGTGGCTTAGTCGCGTCGCCTGGAACCGGTGGGATCACGCTAACTTCCGCCCCGGTATCAACCAGGAACATGATCCCGGTGTTCCTATCAACGATTTTGAAGAGGCGACTTGGACGACTTCGGCCGACGGCGTTCGTCGCCAATACGTGTCGGCCTGTCCTTTTTCTCGTTACGGGAAATGAGCATGGTTTTATACAATTTCTAGCGGAACTTCCAAAACGTGCGTGATAACGGCAAATTGGGCGTCGTGTTCGTCTTCCAGATGGGCTAGGGGAACGGGATGGAGAATCCCGTTGGTGCCGATGTAACTTTAAGCTTTGAACTTCTTGCCGTAGCGCGGCTATCTCTGTTAAGAGCTCACCAGTGGAAGGTGGAGTAGTGGTGTCGATGGTTTGGACCGAAGGGTCAACAGTGAAATCTACGTCAGGTGAGCGAAGAGAACTAGACGACGGACACGGTGGTCCGGTGAAGCGATCCATCATATCATCAGCAATATCTGCAACTTCTGACAAAGGCTGCGATTTCGCAAGCGATAGCATAGCTTGTACGTTTTCAGGCAAACGCTGAAGCCATAACTCTCGAAGCAGCGACTCGTCCATATGCAGTCCTTGAAGAAGACCACGCATCTCTAGCAATAGCGCGGATGGCTTACTAGAACCTAGCTGTAGACCAGTAAAAAGTTTATGCAAGCGGGACTTCTCTGAGGGAGTAACACGCTTTATTACAGCGTTCTTGAGCAAAGTATAACGGTCGGGAGAACGACATGTAATAATAAGATCGCGTAGCGCTATAGTAATATCAGTTGGCAGGCGTGTGAGCAAGTGGTTAAACTTTGCAGAATCGCTAGTGACATGCTTAGAAGTAAACTCAGCTTCTAAAATCATGAACCATAAAACGGGATCTTTTTCAATAAATGGTGGAACTACCAGAGATACCGCTTGCACAGACTGTGAGTCCTCACACTTTTTAGAAACTGAGGCCATGATTTGCGTGGAAAAAACCAAAAAAATGGAACGAACTCACCGGAATGCGATTGGGGTCACCAATTATGTAGCGCCTTGACGAATGCTACACAAGAAAACCGTAGCCCGGTAAGACAGAAGACGGCGGGATATAAAGATTGTCTTGAGAAAATAGCTATGTACAATAGCTATGTGAATATAGCTTGAGGACAATGGGAGAAAATGGTGAAGCAATGAGTAACACCACGTAGGAGCGCAACAGCCGGCAACGCGCGGGCAAGATGGCGGACCTGGTTCAAAATTGCAGTCCAGTATATATAGGCTTTGGATGGGTGCAAAGTAAAACAAAATGTGTACAAGTCTGAATGTGATGTTTGATGGAGTAAAATGTCATGGTCACTACACAGGCCTCCCCCTAGAAGGCCGAGGGACGAGGACTTCGATCGCTGTTGGCTTGCAGATGTATAAAGGCAGAATCACAGGAGTTCGGTTGTATTTGGATTATTTAATCTTCTTGTGGATTGGAATGCATCATCGGTGGGCCGTCCCAGCGGGCACACCGGACTACAAAAAAACTGGATAATCCAGAAAAAGGGCCGGTAGGACCTTTCACCGCTGCTGAAAGACGGTGCGCTTGGGAGAGGTCACTCCCCCCACCGCATTCCAATCCACTGCCACAACGAAGCTGAAATCCTGTTCGTACTGGCGAGCCGTGGGGGGCCAAAAACAACGAGCCAGGCACACGAGCAGCCAAAGCCAGGAAGGCGAGCCAGACAAACGACCAAGGCGAGCCAAATTGAGCCAAGCAGACCACGATCCAAAGGCCAACGTGGGCGGGCGAGACGACAAAGCGTTGGGGGTAGACCAAAGCATCCAAACGACCAAACAATTGAGAAACAGCCAACCATTGAACGGACGGACCCAAACGTGCCAGCCTCATGACTTTACCTGATAGATAGGGGAAAAAAACTCGGGGAGACAGATTCAGATATTTACGGAAAAGCATAATACAAACAACGAGAGAAAATGAAAAAGATTCATGAGGTGTGGATGAATTCGACAAAATCGGAGAAACGAACAGGTTTACGAACTCTTCTACCGTGACTGGTATTAGTTTGAGGCGAATCTGGTGACTGGGATTGTGGTGGAGCTGAAAAGCTGGGCGTCGTTACAGGTGGCTCTGTAGATTGCGTTAAGGTCGATGATGGAACAAACTGTTGTTCATCGATGAACGCAGGCTTGACGCGATCTATCGAGACAGTATCCCTTTTACCCCCACGGTCAATCACCAAAGTTTTTGAAGACCGTTTAATAACACGGTATGGACCTGTGTAAGGTGCGGAGAGAGGCTGTCTCACTTGGTCGACACGTAAGAATACGTGAGAACATGTAGAAAGGTCTTTCGGAACGTGCACTGGAGTGCGTTGTTCCCTGGGTCTCGCGGGATGCAGCTGACGCATGTGGTGCGTCAGACGAGCTATGTAGCTCTTGTAGTTCCATGCCCTCTCCGGGGTTGGGGCGACTAATTGTCCAGGGAGACGCAATGTGCAGCCATAAACGAGTTCGGCCGGAGCAGCGTTAATGTCGGTTTTGACAGTATTTCGTAAGCCAAGTAAAACGGTGGGAAGCGCTTCGTACCAGTCTGCGTTATCATGTGCACATAGTGCAGCTTTCAGCTGGCGGTGAAAACGCTCAACCATGCCGTTGGCGGCAGGGTGGAATGCAGTCGTTTGGACGTGACGGCAGCCGAGGGTCTGAAGAAGGTGAGCAAATGTGCCTGCGAAGTGCGAACCTCGATCAGTTGTCACAACGGCAGGACAACCAAAGTGTGAGACCCAGCGCTCTAGAAAAGCGCGAGCGACAGTGTCTGATGAGCAATCTGGCATTGGGATGGCATCAGGCCATCTTGTAAAGCGGTCTATACAAGTCAGCAAGTAAGCGCATCCATTAGATGGGGGCAGTGGCCCAACAAGGTCAACATGAATATGGTGAAAACGGGCATCAGGAAGTGGAAATGAACCAAGCGGACTTTTCGTGTGTCGATGAACCTTAGACTGTTGGCAACTAAGGCACGTACGAGCCCACTGTCTAACGTCCCGGTTGACGTTGCGCCACACGAAGCGTTGTGTGACGAGCTTAACTGTGGCACGAATGCCTGGATGTGATAAACTGTGAAGAATGTCAAACACAGTGCGTCGGAAAGCTTGGGGAACCACTGGTCGTGGTGAATTTTGCGAAACGTCGCAAAGTATGGTTCCATCCGAAGTAGGCAGTGGAACTGGTCGTATGCGCAAGGAGCTAGAATTACGAAGCTGATCCAGCTCTGGGTCGGTCTGTTGAGCAGCAGCCATTGCCGTTAGATCGATACCTTCAGCGGACGTGATGGAGCTGACGCGAGAAAGAGCATCAGCGACGGAGTTCTGCACACCCGAGACGTGCCGTATGTCTGACGTAAACTGTGAGACATAGTCCAGGTGGCGTATCTCTCTCGGAGAGTATCGGTCGGATGACGAGTCGAGGGCGTAAACTAAAGGTTTGTGGTCAGTAAAGACGGTAAAGCTTCTGCCCTCTAGAAAAGGACGAAAATGACGGATGATACCAAGTTCGAGCATGTGCTCGAATTCTGCCTTAGCGGCTTTTAGCTTATCAGGGGCGAGACGTCGTGGCCGTGCAGAAACCGGTGGGCCACGGGTTCGTATATGGTGCGTAACGCTAGATGCGACCGGAAGAGTACCGTCAGCTGAGCGGACGAGCTGCGGAAACTGTCTGAACAGATCTAAAAAAAATTTTTCAGCTTCAGGCTGAATGTAAATGGGAGTGACAGAAACACAAGGTGTGCGAACTCCACATGTGAAAAGCTGGGTCTTTTGGTCAACGAGTTTGCGATGACGCGCATCGACGAGAAGATCGAAGTGTTGGAGGAAGTCGATACCCAATATAGCAAACGGAACAGCAGCGATGGTGAAAATCCATCGAAAGGAACGTCGTAGTCCGAGGTCAATGGTAAGAGAGCGCTGACCGAAAACTCGGATAGCAGTGCCGTTAGCGGCACGCAAGTTGGTTGTCTGTGGCTTAGTCGCGTCGCCTGGAACCGGTGGGATCACGCTAACTTCCGCCCCGGTATCAACCAAGAACATGATCCCGGTGTTCCTGTCAACGATATTGAAGAGGCGATTTGGACGACTTCGGCCGACGGCGTTCGTCGCCAATACGTGTCGGCCTGTCCTTTTTCTCGTTACGGGAAATGAGCATGGTTTTATACAATTTCTAGCGGACCTTCCAAAACGTGCGTGATAACGGCAAATTGGGCGTCGTGTTCGTCTTCGAGATGGGCTAGGGGAACGGGATGGAGAATCCCGTTGGTGCCGATGTAACTTTAAGCTTTGAACTTCTTGCCGTAGCGCGGCTATCTCTGCTAAGAGCTCACCAGTCGAAGGTGGAGTAGCGGTGCCGATGGTTTGGACCGAAGGGTCAACAGTAAAACCTACGTCAGGTGAGCGAAGAGAACTAGACGACGGACACGGTGGTCCGGTAAAGCGCTCCATCATGTCATCAGCAATATCTGCAACTTCTGACAAAGGCTGCGATTTCGCAAGCGATAGCATAGCTTGTACGTTTTCAGGCAAACGCTGAAGCCATAACTCTCGAAGCAGCGACTCATTCATATGTGATCCTTGAAGAACACCACGCAGCTCTAACAACAGCGCGGATGGCTTACTAGAACCTAGCTGTAGACCAGTAAAAAGTTTATGCAGGCGGGACTTCACCGAGGGAGTAACACGCTTTATTACAGCGTCCTTGAGCAAAGTATAACGGTCAAGAGAACGAGACGTAATAATAAGATCACGTAGAGCTATAGTAATAGCAGTTGGCAGGCGTGTGAGCAAGTGATTAAACTTTGCAGAATCGCTAGTGACATGCTTAGAAGTAAACTCAGCTACTAAAATCATGAACCATAAAACTTGATCTTTTTCAATAAATGGTGGAACTACAAGAGATACCGCTTGCACAGGCTGTGGGTCTTCACACTTTTTCGAAACTGAGGTCATGGTTTGCGTGGAAAAACCAAAGAACGAACTCACCGGAATGCGATTGTTGTCACCAATTATGTAGCGCCTTGACGAATGCTACACAAGAAATTCGTAGCCCGGTAAGACAGAAGACGGCGGGATATAAAGATTGTCTTGAGAAAATAGCTATGTACAATAGCTATGTGAATATAGCGTGAGGACAATGGGAGAAAATGGTGAAGCAATGAGTAACACCACGTAGGAGCGCAACAGCCTGCAACGCGCGGGCAAGATGGCGGACCTGGTTCAAAATCGCAGTCCAGTATATATAGGCTTTGGACGGGTGCCAAGTAAAACAAAATGTGTACAAGTCTGAATGTGATGTTTGATGGAGTAAAATGTCATGGTCACTACATTAAAGCAGTACCGTTTGGCACCTATTAGGCTTCTATGTTAGGGTTAGTTTCTGTAATGTTTCGGTGCACTGATTTACGCTGAAAGGAGATCAAAATAACTGTGTACTTCTACCGTCGCAGTCTGCACTATATAACGCTAGGAGGTTTTGTACTAAGACGAAACATTGGCTAGGTAACAACAAATGTCGGCTGAATTGGACTATGGTTGTGCAGCAAACAACTTGCTCATATAGGTAGACAGCACTTGACTGTGTCGACCATTAGTATCTTCGATGCAGGAGGGTGGGTATGCGGTTGTGGTAGTGGATTGAGCTGTTATAGACAATTGATGTGGCCAAAGTACTGAAAGATGGAATCTTCAGTTGTAGATGTGCCGAGGAATATCATTGTCTCACCCAATAGGGGAGATAACCTCTTCTACTCGGAAGTACAAACCAGAAAGCGACTGTTTTATCCAGCTGCACTTTGCGAGCTCATATCAGCTCACACCGTTGCAACGAAACTGGATTCTTACGTGGTGCAACGGTTTGCATACCTCATTGACCCATTGAGCTCTACTTGGTGATGCCTCCGGGCGCCTTGAGAGCTACTCCTACCGGGTTGGTCAATGGTGAGAGGTCAGACAAACTCAGTCTCCTGGTCCTCCAGGTTGGGGGTTTGAAATGGGATGGCGTCCATTGCTATAAAACTAAATCATTGCCACATCCTCGCTGCCTTTGGATGAGGACCCTAATCGTCCTCCTGTCTAGGTCCAGGCGCCCTGGCAGTATCCCAGCCCACATACAACCTTGACATTTTCCTCAAACATAAACTTCATCCTGCATCGGCCGTCGCGCAGATTAGCAAGGGTCGTCTTATCTGCTGCATACAGCAGGGCGGATAAGCGAAAACATGCTACTGCTAGCGCCTCCCTTCTTTCTTTTCCACCTTTTTCTCTTACTCCCATCCCGACACCCATTACCAATTTTCCTTTTATAATTCTTAGCTTAATTGACAGCAGCCGAAGTGCTACTGGAGTAGAACCATCTGCAGCCACCATCCCACAGCACCTATCGGACGCCTTTCTGCAAAAGTCCTTTCTAAGGCCGCCGTATTCCGTTTCCACTGCGAGATTCAACGTCCGCACTCTAAGACAAACAGGTCAGCAGGCTGCACTCGCACGCACCTTGGACACACTGGGTATTGATGTGTGTTGGGTGTTCGAAACTAGGATCAATGACTCTAACGGGGTTATTGAATTAACTGCACCCGGCTTATCCTCTCGTTATTGGTTGCACGCATCCGGAGACGCCGATGCGGCACTCACGGGTCAAGCTGGTGTAGGTATCATTCTCAGCTCCAAGGCTGTGCCATCGTTGGTTGATTGGATTCCGGTGAACAGCCGTTTATGTGCAGCTCGTTTGACGACATCAGCTAAGATTGGTTCACGAAGTAGTACAAAACACTGTTTGTTTGTGATTTCCGCTTATGCTCCCACCGACTGCAGTTCTAATGTAGTCAAGGACACATTCTATGACGAACTGAACGCGCTACTACGCAGTGCTACTAGTTCAGATATTATAGTACTTGCAGGGGATATGAACGCACAAGTAATGCATCTTAGCTCTTCAGAAGCTAAGCTGGGTGGTAATTGTGGGTTTAACTCCGAACGGAGTGACAGTGGTGAGCGGCTGCTGCAACTGTGTGCGGAGCACCAGTTGTTTCTTAGTAGCATTGCTTTTAGACGCAGTGGGCGCCAAAGTGCCACTTCGCGTCCTCCTGTAGCTGGCCAGTGATGGACCCAAATTGACCACATAGCCATAAGTTACAGGTGGCGTGGTTCTATCCTGGATTGACGCTCGTACTGGAGTACCTGTGTCGACTTTGAGCATGCCTTGCTACGCTGTCGTTTCCCCATGAACTTTACCGGGAGGTGCACTAAGCGTCCCCTACGATTGGCAACGGATGAATTGTCTCAGCCCTAGGTCAAGCAAGCCTATCAAGAAGCACTGCATACCGAACTTTCGCTGTCTTGTCCTAATGACACTGAGCTTCAGTGGAATAGGATCTCGACCACTATGCACGGCGCAGGAGCATCTGCTTGTGACACTATCCATTGTCACCGCACTAGTCATTGGATATCCGACAGGTCGGTGGACCTGTTGTAATCTAGAAGACACCTCACGGCTGGTTCTGAACACAATGTGACCAGACGGGCTATTAGGCATGAACTAAAGCAGTGGCTACGTGCTGACAAGGAAGCTTGGTGGACCGGTAGGGCTCAAGAAATGGAAGAGACAGGAGCAGTAGGTAATTACCGCAACTCTTCCAGCTAATCCGCACCACTGGTCCCAGAATACCAAGCGTCAGTGACACAATCAGAGACAGCGCGGTTGCGCTGATACACAATAAGGAACGCCATATGGCTCGTTGGGCGGAACACTTTCAAGCTCAGTTCAGCTGGCCTTTGCTCCCGGACCTCTTCCTACTCAGGTGATGCAGGACGAGCCATGGACGGTTAGTTTAGAGCCTCCGTCAGACGCCGAGGTCCGAAACGCGATCACAGCCTTTAATCGTTTTCGTGCCTCCGGCCCGGATTCCCTCCCACCTGCACTATTTAAGGATGGAGGTGAGTTCCTCTGCAAAGCACTGACATCCTTATTCGAATGTATCTGGAAGAAGGAGAATGTCCCGGCTAATTGGAGCGAATCGATTATAGTAGCAATATACAAGAAGGGCAGTCGCACAGACTGTTCTAACCACAGGGTTATTAGCCTAACGCCAGTTGTGACAAAATTATTGGCCTTGATTCTCGTCCGTCGCCTCACTGCGGAACGGGAATCTCGGATTAGGGAGGAGCAGACCGGTTTCCGCCCAGGACTTGACTGTATAGACCATATATTCACTTTGCGGCAGGTGCTAGAGCAGCGCCACACATACCGCAGACCGACAGTAGCTGTGTTCCTCAATTTCTAGAGTGCTTTCGGTTCAGCCGATCGATCGATTCTGTTCGCAATAATTGCGGAGTAAAGTGTTCCTACGAAATATGTGAACATCCTTCGTGCTCCATGCTCAAACACTACAGGTCATGTCAGGATCTACGGTGACCTATCGGATAGCTTTCCGACCACAAGTGGCGTTCGTCAAGGTTGTCCGATTTCCCCATTTTTGTTCAATTTCGTCGTGGATTCTATTATGGAGTGTTAACGTGGAATTTCACGATGTAGGCGTTGAAGTGCTGCCTGGTGAAATGTTAGTTGACTTAGATTATGCGGACGATATCGTCTTGCTTTTCGACGATATTGGTGCGGCACAATCAACCCTGAATAGCCTGACCAGAGTGGTCCCATTATTTGGTATGCACTTCGCACCTTCAAAGTGCAAAGTGTTGCTGCAGGGCCACCAGCCACTTGATAGCCCCTTGACACTTGCTAACGAGGAACTCGAGGTGGTTGATCATTTCACTTATCTTGGCAGATGTATCAGCAATGATGGGCGCATAAGAACTGACGTCAGCTCATGCATTGCAAAAGCTAGAGCTACCTTCTTGAACCTGCAGCATCTTTGGCGACAGAAGAGGTTTCCCTCCGTCTGAAAGGCCGTGTATACAAGGCCAGAGTGAGGGCCGTTCTGCTGTATGGTAGTGAGACTTGGCCCCTTCGGTTTGAAGATCTGAGACGCCTTCAAGTCTTTGATCATCGTTGTATGCGAAGCATTGCTGGAGTTGGATGGCACCAGCGTGTCCGCAACGATGATGTGCGTAGGCGAGTACTAGGTAGTGATAATCATGCTAGCTCTCTAGAACAACAGATAGCACTGAATAAGTTGCGTTGGCTTGGGCACGTGCTACGTATGCCTGGTCACTGCTTACCTAGGATGGCCTTGTTTGTCTGCCAGGTGTAGGATGGCGCAAGGCTCGAGGTGGACAGAAGTTGACTTGGCAGCGAGAAATGAAGTCACTGACAACTAAACTGGGTGCCGTTGGTCCGTCTCGCCTTCCGGGTTGGAGTCCACGTGACTCGCCTTGTGCTTTGCTCGATACTTTACAGGACATGGCTCGCAGTAGACACCAGGAGCGCATCTGCTGCAGTCTCCTAATCGGATTGCCTGTTTAAAGTGTGTTTGGTGCTGAGTTATCTGCGAGGTAATGGCTGATTATGACGCGTGGCAGTGAAAGCCGCAAGGAAGCTGTCTCGCCGATGCCGCCTTATCTTTGCACGATAGCCAGCTGTTTGTGACGGTATATTGTCTACACAAGGTGTAGACGCCTTGACCCTGAATGTTTGCTTAGGTCATTAAGGTTTCCAGGTAATTCCCCCTTCTCTCCCTCGTTTTATTCTTTATTTCATAGGTCCTCATCGTTTTATGGTAGCGAAGCATCAGTTCAAATGGCTGATGTACTGTTGTTGTTGTTGTTGTTGTTGTTGTTGTTGTTGTTGTTGTTGTTGTTGGTATTTGTAAATAGTGTCACAGACAGTTCTTGAGGTGGGTAGATAGATAGACAGATAGATAGGTAGATAGATAGAAAGAATAAGTATTACCAAAGTTTACTTTGTCCGATGTATTAGCACACCATAAAAGTTCAAAACTTACGGATATCTGGTGTAAAACGTATTTACTTGCAGGATAGAGGAAGATGAAGGTGATGGTATCCATATGTCTGCCGTACGCTGTAACGGCGCTTCGCTGCCGCGTGATCACCACCAGTCGTGCGGACTGCGGATACCGCGAGGACGCCCACCCCTAATCGGATTCGAACCGGTGACCTTATGATTGCATGCCAGGCGTGCAGACCACTGGGCTACCGGTCGACAGGAGGAGGAGATGCGGCTCTATACCATCTAGTCTAAATTTATCATGCTCTATCCAACACTACAAACAACGAAAATAAAAAAAGGAAAGAATGTGCTCTAATTGATTTTTCTGGCTTCCAACAGTGCTTGTAGGCATCATCATACGTTGTGGAGACGACTCGGATACTAGCTGCAAGTACTGAATCCAAAGAGGCACGTAGGTTAAAAGTTGATGTGGAGGATTATGGATGCCTAACACCAGGATATTACAGGCGGCTCTCAAGGGGAATGAGTAAGGTAGTAAATAAATCAGCGGGAGGACGTAAGAAAATTGAAATCGCATGTAGTGATCCAAATGGAAGCTGATGAACAGTGAATGACAAACAACGTCAAGTGCTTCAAAGTACTGTAAAGGTAATCCTTTTCCATCTACCTGCACAACAGACTTTAAGTAGTAGAGTTTTACCTACATTTAACACCGTTTAACTTCCTTAAATGCCACAATTCTATTGACCTTTGCGATGGAAATAAGCAGTTGTCATTCACTACTGACAGGTGATGATAACTCCGTTATTAATTGTAGGAGCTCATGATAGCAAAGAAGGCAAGAGAAAAAGCGGTAGCAGATGCAGAAAAGCAAGAGGAATATGGATTGGCGCTTATGGAAGATGAATTCAGCGAGGACCTGGATACGGAACTTCTACTTCGTCGAAGAGTGGCCCAAATAAATGCCAGACATAAGTAAGAAGTGCACATCAAGTAGCTCACTTTGTTCTGCACTGACTCAGTGTTGAGACTTCTGGTTGAAGATGATAATAAATGCAACCGGTACCCGTTCCTTTACTCTGTACAAGTTGTGTAATACCGCACTTCAAGACTGGACTGGGGCCTTTGTTGGACGCATGTGCGACAGCGCTCTCTCTCTCTCTCTCTCTCTCTCTATATATATATATATATATATATATATATATATATATATATATATATATATATATATATATATATGGTTGGCGGCCTCCGGTTTCGGATTTGCCTGTCACTGTGGCCAGCCACAGGACGTCTGCGCCTACAGAGGGACCATGGGTGGCGTGCGCTGCACCACCCACAGCTCCAACCACACACCCCATATCCAGTGTAAACCCGAAGGAATAAGACCGGGAGGCATGTGGATGGGAATCAGCTTTCATCAACGGAGCCGGCCCACACTTCTTCACAGGCAAACACAAGCACGCTATATTTGGGAATCAATAGCACACAAGACGGTGGCTGGAGCGCAGTCCGCTCCAAACTGAGTGCATGGAGCCACTTACCGAGCCCAGCATGGCAACCAGGACCATGCACACCGTCCCCTCCAAAAACGCCCAACTGTCTCCTGTAGCCAGTATGAACGAGGTAGTGGATAATATAAAGTTAGGCACCTTGTCAACATGCACATCAAGCGCAGTCACACTGGGGATATCAAGCAAGAGCTAATCACTTGAAACGGAAAGATGAAATAAAATAAATTGAATAATGCATACAGATCCGGGGGTATAACTCTTCGCTTAATTAGCATTCGAAATAAGTTGCTTAGTAACGAATCCGCGGTAAGCGAAATATATCCACCCGTTACCTAAAAATGCTACCAACGCAACAAAATTACCGAAGAAAAGCGCAATCAGCGTAAGTAACGTGGCCACTCACTCGAAGATTCTTCAGGTAGACACAAAAAACCAAATGAAGTGGAAGAAAATTTATCCAGCTTAAAAAGACCTAGTTTAAGTGTAAGTTGGCTTAGACCAACTGCAGTGAACAAACCTCAAGAATGCGACATCGGAATCAGCATAGCGCACACTATATATGTATATGCATATATATAATATATAATATATATAAGCCTCCTAGGTCAGCCTATTTAGCCAAACGCTCCGGGCGGAGTCCCTCAAGCAAACCTCCGAAGCACATTCACCACTTGCATGCGATTGCCCACCAACGCAATCGTATGCCTGTGCGCAAAGCACTCAGCATCGGGTGCTGGAACTTGCGCACACTACTGGACCGGAACTCCAGTGTGCGCCCCGTGCGTCGCACTTCATTGGTCGCACTGGAGCTGGCACGCTACCACATCGATATTGCGACGCTGCGCTTAGCAAGCTAAGTTGCAGGAAGCAGGTGCTGGCTACACGTTCTACTGAGTGGGCAACGCCGCCTCAGCACCACGTGATCATGGGGTCGGATTTTCAATATCCGACCGCTTCCATGGCCAGTTGGTGGGTGAGCCGACTGGGATCAGCACGCGACTGATGGCTGTTCGCCTACGACTCGGAAGACGTAAGTTTGCCACTTTTATAAGAACGTACAGTCCGACCATGTGTTGTCCTGATGACAAGCGTGACGAATTCTACACTTAGCTATCCTCCGTGATACGGTCTGTGTCGAGGAGCGACCGACTATTTCTGCTAGGTGATTTCCACGCGCGCGTGCTGTGCGTGATGCATCGGTGTGAGCAGATGTTACCGCTCCGCATGGTATTTGTTCAGCGAATGCGAACGGGGACAGACTGTTCTCACTGTGTGCCACTCACGGCCTGATGATCACGGACACTCGGTTTGCACTGAGTGCGAATGATATAGCAAGTTGGACGCACCCACGGAGTGGTCACGCTCACCTGCTCGACTATGTCATCGTACGTCAGCGTGATATGCGTGTAGCGCTCATGACACGTGTACTGCATGGAGCTGAGTGTGGCACTGATCACAAATTGGTTCGGACCAAACTGTACATATATTTTCGAAAATCTATGTAGTGCACTCTTGCCGTGAATCGGCGTAAATTTAACGTTCTCTCCCTAGGTACTGTGGCGAAACGTACTGAGCTGGAGAAGGCGATGGCTGCACGCCTGTGTGAGGTGGACTGCCTAGGCACAGTGGGCGACCTGTGGCACCACACTCGCGACCAGGTGGCAGCGGCTGCCGAGGAGACCATCGGGCGCGCAAACTGTAAGCGGCCTGATTTGTCTGATGAGAGCAGTGCGACGATTGGCGTATTGGTGCTTGCGAAGAATGAAGCGTTTGCTGTACATGTGGCAGACCCCAGTGGCTTGGGGAAGAATAGTCAGTTTCGCAAACTTCGGCGCCGACTGACCTGAGAGCTCCGTCGCATGAAAAATGCATGGTGGACGGAGAAGACGAAGCAGATGGAATGCTACGCCGAACGCCGCAAACACAAGGAATTCTTCGCCTAATTGAAGGCGGTATATGGACCGAGATTGGAGCCACTGAGGACGCTGATCGATGGTAGTTCAGGCACTAGCTGCACACAGAATGCAGACATAATGTAGATCTGGCGAAAACACTTTGAGTGTCTCTTGAACAACCGTTCAGAGATCGACTGGCCTACATTGATCGGCCTCAAGCAGCACGATGTGAAGACGTGTCTGGCGGACACGCCGAGACTGAATGAGACGCAGAGAGCACTTGCTCAGCTACGAAACGGCCAGTATACAGGGGCAGACGGGATCCCGCCTGAAGTATCGAAACGCGGCGGAGCCAAGAAGGTGACTGCGCTGCACCACACGATGCAACGCGTATGGATTGAGGAGGAGGTGCCTGCTGAGCTGAAGGATGCCCTTGTGCTACCACTGTAGAAGGGCAAATGGAGCAAGCAATGTTATACAAGTTAGCTTGGCATCAATTTGCTGAGTTGTGCAGCCATGCTGATTGCCCGATTCCTGTTTAGCCGCCTATTTAGTCAGGTTGTGGAACCTAACGTGACGGAAGAGCAGTGTGGATTCCACTCGGGTCGCAGTACTATGGATATGGTGTTTGTGGTTCGTCAGTTGCAGGAGATGTGCAGCAAAATGCACCAGACGTTGTACTCGCTTTTTGTTGATTTCACCCTGGCATTTGATACGGTGAACCACAAGACATTGTGGCTTGTGTTGGGTAAGTTTGGTTGCTCGCGTAAATTTGTAGGTTTAATTGCATCTCTGCATTGTGGTATGCGGGCGAGGGTGCAGCTGAGTGAAGAGACCTCGGATGACATTGCAGTTGTCTCTGGTGTGATGCAACGCTGTGTCTTAGCACCTGCCCTGTTTGTTATATATCTTCATGCAATGATGTCTTGTGATTTTGATGCCGCGTGTGCTCATGTGGAGCACCGTATTGATGGTGGGTTGCTGAACATCCGTCGTTTCGGTGCGAGAACTCTAGTCTGTGAGACAACTATCCGTATGTTGCTGTTTGCTGACGACTGTGCGTTGTTTGCGCACAGCGCGGATGAGTTGCAGCATATGTCTAGTGCTCTGGCTTCGACAGCGGCAAAATTCGGGCTGATCATCAACACAAGCAAAACTGTCTGTCTCTTTCAGCCTTCACCGGAGATGCAATCTTCAATATTGCCGCGAATCAGCATTGGGGCTGAAGTATTGGAAACCACCTCCCGCTTCTGCTACCTTGGGTGTGATGTCGACTGATCAGCAGATGCACAGTGAGCTTCGTATCCGCATATCGAAGGCAGCGACGGCTTTCGGAAAGGTAGTGGTGCCGATTGTGGAACAGCCATCAGCTTACCATTGACACGAAGCTGATGGTGTACGAATCCATGTTACTGTCCGTTCTTCTATACGGCAGTGAAACGTTGACGATGTACCGGCGGGATGTGCGATATCTTGAGCAATTCCTTCATCAGGGTTTACGTTAGCTTCTGCGCATCAGACGGTGTGACAGATTTGCGGATGTGGAAGTGTTGCGCCGAAGTGGAATGTACGCAGTGAACTGCATACTGCTGAGACACCTGCGGTGGCTCAGTCATGTGACCCGTATGGATTTGACGCGCATACCGAATCGACTATAATGTGGTCAACTGATTACTGGGAAGCGAGAAGTGGGGAAACATTGTTTGCCATACCAGGGCATCTTATATATATATATATATATATATATATATATATATATATATATATATATATATCATTTGTTTTCAATCTGTTAAGAGACATTGTGCCATCGAACCATGGCAGAAGAAAAAATGGAAGATGATGAGAGCACGACCTGTAATTAAAATATATTGGGAAACGATTTCTTTTGGTTTTACACGCGACACTTTGTATTTGTTGTTTGATTTTCTGAGTTTTTGTGTGCATCGTAGTGATGGTAAAGTGGTAAAACAACATTGACGGCGCTGTTGTCTGTTGTGGTCCATGAGGTCTAATGTTTCCAGCCACTGCGATTCATCTTCTCGTGGTCCCTAACCTGGAATACACACTGGTCCGACTGCCGCCAAAATTGAGGTTGCCTTCTTTATGATCCTTCTCTTCGTCTTGGATCTCTGCCTCGGCACTTTTTCCAATTGCTCCCTGGGATGCAAATAGCGCTCGACGTGGCTGGCATGCGCAGAACGTGCCCAATCCAACGCATTCGATGTCGGAGAATACCCTCCTGAAGACTGGTTTTATTCGCCCCAAGCACGCGGTCTCGCACCTCTGCGTTGCTTACGTAGTGTTGCCGTCACACCCGAGCAATCCTTCGTAGACTGCGATTGTCGAAGGCTGACAGCCGCTTCATATCTCCTGAGCGAATAGGCCAAGTCTCACAGCCGTACAATATTGCACGGACGAAAGCGTTGTACACCCTGCCCTTGAGCTTGAGACTGACATCACGAAGACACCATTGGTGTCTCAGTCTGATGAATGCAAGGCGGGCCTTTGCAATCCGTTGTGAGACTTCATCTCCAACATCGCCATCAGCCGTGATGCAACTCCC